TATATGTATACTTTATATATATATATATATATATACACACACACACATACATATATACACACACACATACATATATACATACAGTATATATACACACACACACATATATATATGTGTGTGTGTGTGTGTACTTTTCTGCTGGCATCAGTGAAACTCTCTGCTGACCTGGTATCCATCAATATTGCCCTGTGGGAGGGTCAGCCACCACACGATGGCCTCTGTGGCGGAGAGAGCTTTGCCGTCAACGCTTGCAGGCGCCTCAGATGGAACTGGGACAAGAACAGAGTGATGAATAGGTTATGGTGGTGGAAGAGCATCTCAAGGACTTTTACCTCCAGATATAAATCTTGCATTGCGTGCGTAAAACCGAGCAGCTCAGCAGATTTTTTTTTTAAGTGTATACTCTTTAGCATGATATCGACTGGTGCGTCATGCAAACTAATGGATCCATTACCATGATCGTAAAATATATAGTGCTTCCTGTCCTGCATCAATTGGCTTTAGTGATGTCATTTTTTTTACTCAGTGCTGCTTGTTGACCATTCTAGTTCGTGTGGATTTGTTTCAGAGTAAGGAACCAGCGAAGTGAAGAAATCCATCATTTTTATATTTTTCCTGTGAACCACTGTGGCATTTCAACAATCACTGTGAAGTACAAAAACAACAGTGACAACAAGGAGGCACACAGACAAATGATCACACAAACACGGAGGCAGAGTTCTTTGAAGGCTTAGCTATAAATCCAAACAGAGCCGGCACCAAAGTGTGATACCATGGCAACGGGGCATCGCTGTGTGCCAGTGGTTATCGCAACTGTCTGTCAGTGGATGTTAATAAATGGACTAAATGCTTTGCATCCTTGGGCAAATCACCAGCTCTGTGGCTCACGCTGCACAGAGATCATGATAATCCCTCACTAGAGAAGGAGAAAGAGGATAAGATGGGTTTACTTTGAGGGAGCATTAAAATTCCTCTCGACTATACATCAGAACTCTAATACTGTGTAGCTTCTGGTGACAGGCAGCTGACAATAACAGAGGGTTGGCATACTGACTTATTTCTCCTTCTTTAAGATGCCGAGAAATTTAGAAAAGTTCAATCTGTGAGATTACTGTGACAGTCATTGTCCACGCTCTTAACTTCCAAAAGCTTCCAATGTTTTGGCCACATGGTGAAGGTTGAGGTTAACATAAAGCAATTGCTCCAAAACTTTCTCTGCAGCGCCCCCTTTTGTGACCTGACATCATCACTTCCCATTTTGGGAACCACTGCTCTACAGCAGGAACACCACCAGTTCCATAATTCAATCCGCACTCTTTCTTTGGGTTTTTTTTTTGTGAAAACCTTCTGGCTCATGGGCCAAAAAGAGGTCCAATTTGTTGGAATGCATGGACCAGAAGGATTGCTATCAGTCTTTACCATAACTTGTTTGGGTGTTTGGCAAACCTACCTCCCCCTCCCTCCAGAAAATGATGCTAACTTTTCTGTACTTTGTGTGTTGATCAAGCAGTAAACATGGGCTGACTTCTTCATTGTCGCCCCCTAGCTTTGGAGACTACACTGATCTAAACTACTGAGATTCCAAAGACTTTTTTTTTCCAAACACATTTTTCTTTACTGCTGTAAATGTCAAAGTATTAGAGTCCTCCTGATTACTGTAGTTTTCCCGTCCACAGTACTGTAGTTCTGTGTGTCAGTGTGTAACAGGAGCTGAGGAACTCCTCACTGCTTACCATCCTGTGCGGAGTAAATGACCACTGTGACACTGTACGGCCCCTCTCCTTCACTGTTGAATGCTTTGACCTTGACTTGAAACTCGGTCAAAGGGGGGATGGAGGACTCTTTGTGGACGTAGCGGTTGGCCTGTGGGTCAGTCACCGTCACCCTTCTCCACTGGTCATCGTCCTGAGGTTTGAAGGCCACAATGTATCCAAAATTTGGACCGTAGTAGTACCGGGGCTGGACGGGCTGACGATGAAAGGAGACGTTTTACATTTTTTTACATATGCTTCATTCACGGACACATTTCAACCCTGCCATTAAACTCTCACTAATCCAATCCAATTTCACACATCATGTACCATACTTATGCTTGTGCCTTTTATCTAACAGAGCTCAAAAGGCCAAGAGATTTTTTTTTAACTGTTAGTATGAGAACTGCAGTGTTATCTGTATACTGAGTGGTTCAGCCTGGCCAGCTCATCCTTCTTCGCGTGTTCCTATGCCTCATTTCCTCTGCTGGCACTTATCTTTAATCATCTCTCCATATGTCCTGCCAGTCATATCTGCGTCAGCGTCACTGACTCTTTAACACATTGTCTCATTGTCCAGCTGCTCTGGATGTCCATGGCCGTGGCTCAGCCAAGCGAGAGGTAATTTAGCCATGAATGATTTTTTTTATCGATGACTGCAGCAGGGAAATGAAGGATAATGTTTCGGCTCAGTCACCGTTGTTTATTGATCGTGATCGTTATGTTTTTTTCCATCACCTTTGCTTGAAGCTCAGTGATTCTTTTATTCTCTCGTTCGATGCTACGTTTCAGCTTAGCTTTTTGTCTTGTATCCTTTTGACCCCCGTGTCCTGTGAGAAGTGCAGACCTACCGTCCACGTGATGGTCAGCTCTCTGCTCGTTCCTCCGCCCCCACTGACGTCCGAGGGCGCCACCACAGGAACTACGAACAGACAGCAAGAGTGCAACTTTGAGCCCACATTCCAGAAGGCCACAGAAGGGGAGCCAAGCCACACATGCTGTGACCGATCGCTGGCTGAACTACTGACATGTCCCTGCTCCGCAAGTACAGTATCAATGTCCCCACAGATGCCAACTGCAACACCTTAATGCTCCTGCGGGAACCCAGAGCCCAGAGTCTAGAACGGTAATGACTTTTAAGAGAGGTTACTGGAGGCCTGTGATTTCTGTTTGGTAATTGAAATATAGCGTATGGTTTCAGCAAAGTGCTCATTTGTGGAGGTTTGTGTGGGGAGTTTGGCAGGGAGCTGCTGCTCTATGAAGTGCATCATAATAGTATCTCTGTGGGCCACTGCTGCAGCACTTCTTCACATAAGTAAACACTGCCACAATAGAATGACGCTGAACAAATGGTACAATGGAAAAGCTGGACTGCACGCCTGCTTTTCCATGACTTTTCAAAACACAGAGTCAAATAAACACAGCCAACCACAGGCCGACGCCAGGACAGAGTTCCTTACCTGCTTCCAGGGTTTGGACTTTAGGGGAGGGGATGCTGGGCTCTCCCGTCCCCAGAGTGTTGGTGGCTATTACTCTGAACTCGTACTCGGTCCAAGGGAACAGATCCACCACTGTAGCCGTCTCTGAATTCCCTTCTACAATCGCAGGGGCTGAAGAGAAATGGATGCATATGCTGTAGATCAGGGGGGTCACTGACCTTATTGAAACTGAGAGCTACTTCAAGGGCACTTGTTTGATACAGACATCCTAAACAATGTAATAATAATTAGTTCAGGGACATATAGTAGTAGACACTCCTCTTACCATGGTCATGGCACCCATTTGAATATCATTGCAAGTAGAACTGATTCAAAAAGCACAGTAAGAGTACAATTTTTGACCCTCTTGTTGACTAGTTTTATTTTAAGAAAATACCCTGGGGTCTACATTAAGTAGCTCATTGAGGCCACCAGATACCTCCGGGGCACCACGTTGGTGACCCCTGCTGTAGATTTTCAAAATTTGAAAAAAAAAAGGTGAATAACGGAGCAGTTGTTAGATGTATTTCAGCAAAACATCTTAAAAGTAAATATTCCAGCGGCCTCACATGTAGTGGCATTCTTCCAGGAATCCTTCACCAGAGAATCCCTGTACTGGATGGTGTATTTGGAGATGGGGCTGTGGTTATCTGCTCCGCGGCTCCACTGCAGCGTCACACTCCTGTCAGTTTTGTCTATCACTCTCACCCCACCTGGAGCGCCGGGGGGACCTGGGGTCGGAGAGAGATATAAAACAATATCTGTGAGTATCGTTAGATTGGTGGGGTTTTTTTTCTTCTTTGTAGAAATGTTTAAATATCAGCGCAGTGTCATTAACACAGTTTAACCAATGGAAGACTTATGGTTCACTTCGCCGTTAGCAGCCTTAAGTTTGTCAGAATGATGGATCAGAGCATTTCAGCTTCGACTCGCTCGTAAATTACACAATGCATAAAGTACAGATGACGGAAAAAACTTTTAATTTAATGTCTGTCTGAGTTCTCCGGTTTTTTTCCCCACTCTTGCTCTGCAGCCTTAAAATAATATTTCATTAATTCCACGCTGTTTTACTGTTGGCGTTATAATTTACATCCTCTGAGGTCAGCTAGGTTCACTTCTCCAAGTCATTAATATCAGTCTGAAAAGGAAGTAACAGAAAATAACTGGCAAAGTAGAGTGGGTATACTTCACTGCAGCAGGACTGTATGCATATTGAGTCCTTAGTCCAGCATGATTATATATTACCGTATATAATGTCATAAAGTAGTTAAGTGATATTATGGTTTAAGAGTATACTTCTAAGAAAACAGAAGTGTACTATACCAGATACTATACATTTTGGACACGCAGATGGTTCATTAATTTAGAATTATTTTTCAGTACAACAGTGACAGTGATGTACTGTACAGGTGGCTCATCTTGTAAAATGCACTTTTTTTAAGTTTTCCAGCTACTTAAAAGGCATTTAAAATTTGTTATAGTACTTCTTTTTTTTTTCTAAAGTAGAATCATTTTTTACTGTATATGGGCCCACATCTCACTCTGCGGATCAGCTGAGCTAAAGGACCTGTTCAATCAGAATCCGAATCAGAATGACTTTACTGATCACCAGAGGGAAAACCCTTCAAGTTAAAAAAGCCTAAGGAATAAATCTACAGCATTGTCTAAAATCTATAAATTAAAATGTCCCTAAAACCCAGGATGGCTGGAAGAGTTATGACTGATAAATATATGTGCTTCAAATACTAAAACTGTAATACACTGCACTAAAGGGAGTTAAAAGTATGTGTTAGAACTTGACTAAAACTACAATACTACAAGTACAAAGCTTCCTTTTTTTTCCAAAACTGATAAAGTACCAATCCTTAGGAACAGTTTCCCTGATTCAGAACTTGTTATAATAACACAGACAAACTTCAACAATGTGTCTCTGACTGTATCAATATTCTACATAAACACAGCCGTCATATAAAAACAACTCTTCTCTTCATCTACTGAAAACAAGCTACAGGTGCAGAGGAGTGTTTGACTGTGTTTGTACTGTGTCCTGCAGCAGACCTCATCAACTGGGATAAAAACACGTCTTTCATCCTTCCCTCACTGTCGTGGTGTGGACTGCTGGCATTTAGCACTCCATTAGGAGTGGCCCAGAGATTGTGTTTTGGTTTGACTGCAGTAGCAGCAGCAGCATTAGCAGCACCCAGGAAACAACAGGGATCAGTGGCAACTTCACGGCTGCTCTTAGGTTCCTGTCTAAAAAGCTTCTTTGTCCGTCAGCACCGGGGCTGAGTGAGGACCTGAGGGGAGGGGCTGTAAGGCAAGCTCTCACTCACCAGGCAGTGGAGGGTGAAAACAAAACCTGGTGAATCATCCAGGAGGGGGGGCAAAGTAAAAGACAGCCCACTGCAGAAGCACGGCTGTGTTTGTTTTGATGATATCTGCCTGTTGCAGAAAGAACAAGTACAGCAATCAACAGCCGTCTGAATACTGTCATTGTGCTGAGAGGGAAACCTCTAATGGCTAGAGATGGTTAGAGATAACATGTTGACTTTGTTGCTCTAAGTTCTAGTCACCTGGAAACATTAGTAGAAAACCTAAGAAGGTATTTGGACATTTTTAGGTAATATAACACACACCTAGCAATAGCACCATGCCCCCAAGGGGGCCGCATACCTCCAGTTTGAAACCACTGGTGACACTTTTGTCTTTGCTTTTCTGTTTTCACCCTGGTTCACATGAACCTCGGAGTTGACAGACTATCCTGCAAATCCTTCACCGTTCTGCCCACTCACAGGAGATTTACTAATGTCATACAGTAGTCCACAGTCACTTTCTGCTGCTTTCATACCTAAACACACACACACACACACACACGCACAAACCCCAGCTGTACATAATGGTCTGATAATAACAGTTGTAAAAACTAATGACTAATTTGCAAATATTTTTCTGACAGCCCGTGTAAATCTTCAGGAAGACATCCTGTTCTTAGCCCAACTGAACACATATAATTAAATCTGCGGGAAATTGACTTTGTTCTTCATGAAAAAACAAACTTTTCCCCCCTCTCCAACACAAAGATAATACACTGATGGCATTTATCTACGAGTCTTCACGTCTTTCGTTCAGATTTGTTGGGTTCATTTATTAAACAACTGACAAAAGCATCGCTCAATAAACACCATCTTCCTTTGTGGATCTTTGCCTTTCTCGAGGTTCTAGTTTAAATATTTACTGTGAACTGTAGTGAGAGTGAGTGTTGATGGTTGCCCTGTTAGCAATTAATTTAAAAAAATGTATACCCTGGTCATGCTTGAAAAAAATACATACATACACATACTGTATAATTCACACTGTACTGTTTGTCGTCCGTTACCACTCACCCCTGACGACCAGCTGGGCCGAGGCAGTGATGTTGTCCACGGGCGTCTGTGCGGTGCAGGTATAGCGCCCAGCATGCCTCAACTGCGCGTCTTTAATCAACAACTCGCCATTGGAGCTCCCGTTCTGCAGGAAACAATAGAAGAAGTCAAAGGTCAAGGAAAACATGGTACAAACTCAAAGTTAACAGTAACAAAAATGACAGGCAGTCAACACATTTTAGAGCAGAACTGAAGCCTCACCCCGAAATAGCTAATTACTAGGGCTTCAGCTGAGAAGAGTGCCACCTTTAATGTCAAGGTCGCCAGAGTGTTAACTAAAGACAACATTGTCAATGTAGGGTGGTAAATGTTCACCACATTAACATCACTACACATGACCACTAGCACATCAACACCAATGGTCTGAAACATTCCACATATAGAACCAAACAGTGGGCTCTCGTCAGTCACAATTACAGTATGGATTTGACTGTTGGGCAGTGAGTGACGAAGACAAAATTCTTACCATTAGTTTCTGGTCAGAGCTGCACTGACAGAAATAGTCAAGTATAATGGGTGTTTTGTGGAAACCCGTGTTAAGAGTGATATACAATGGACAATTACAGTCAGGGGAAAATGTGGAATGGATCTGAGAGAGTCTAATTCGTTTAAGGCTGAAAGTACTTTTCCATTTAAGGCATTACGCAGCAATGACATCAACAAAACCTCAAATATGATTTGACATAAATATAGCGCAGCAGAGCTAAAGGTCTGGGAGGAAAGGCTGAGGGGAGTGTAGGTATTTTATTATAATTGTACACACACATATAGAGAGAGATATATAGAGACATATATACACACACATATATATACAGATATATATATACACATATATATATATATACATATATATATACACATATACATACATATACATATATATATTTGTATGGGTTATTTTTTCCCGACCGCAGCGTCTCACCTGTATGCGTTCATAATGTTGCCGGTTCTTGTGAAGGTCGATGACTCGACCGTCCAGTGCCCAGATGAAGGTGATGTCCAACGAGGAGTCATGTGACGCTGTACACTGCATCCAGGCGTTTTCACCCACTTTAACATCTGCATTGGACGGAGCCAAGGTGATCTTTGTGGACTCTGGAGATAAAGAGCCAGAGAGACGAGAACATCAGCCACATCAGCAGGATCTCAAACATAAGGTCAGAGCTTGGAATCGCTGTAATTCGTCAATGTGCACTAATCACCAGTAGAGGGCAGAAAAGAGCTGTGCATCCAGCCTCGTCGCAACTGAATAGAAAAACTAAAACATGTTTGACAGCTTAGATTGTCTGACATGAAGGAAAATCCAAACCAATCTTTTTTTCCCTCCCACTGTCCCAGCGTGATAGACAGTGTTGTGATAATCAGACTATCTCAACACGCTCATAACTTAAGTCCAGTTTTCATCAAACCCAGCCGAGGTCTCCTCACGTCCTTGACATCACGGACAAACTTCATGTCCACCAGTCCTCTCTTATATGCTGTCACTCTGTTGGAGGGACATAATTTAAAAAGATGCCTGAAGTTTAAGACCCTCCTCTAAAGTCGGACAGAGAGATGTTGGCAAAGGCCGACAGGAGTCAAGGTCACACCGGCTCTACTCTAACAAACATTTAAAATGTCTGCAAACGGTTTGATAATGATGGAAAAGTAAGAAAGGAAAAAAAATGTCAGTGCTTCTTTTGGTTCAATCCCAGGCTTTCTGATTGGAGGGATTAAAGACTTAGCTGCAGAACATGATGATTAAGAGTTTGATTTGGAATAAATCTTCATCTGAAACTCACCTGTGACCAACAGAGAGCCTGTGCTGTTGGCTTTGCCCCGGTCATTCTCAGCAAAGCAGGTGTAGCTGCCCTGGTCTGCTGGTGTCACGTTGAGGATCTCCAAGCTGCCGTCCTCCCAGACGAACACCCTGAGAAACCAGAATGAATTCTTCATACAGCACTGAAAGATGCCTCTGTGTGCTATCAAATATTGAGTGGAATCAGAGGGGTCAAAAGTCCAGCATGCAGTTTTAGTAGATGATGAAAAATGATGCAAGAGAGTTCTTTCTTTATAAATGGCTGCCAATGAGCCAGTACATAATGTATGTGGTTTGGCACGAAAAAGAAATATATGAAAGGAAGTAGGCCTGAAGAAATATTAAATGGTGCTTTGATTCATTTCAGTCAGCATATTTAATATTCATGCATTAAAAAGAACATCCCGCCAGCTGCTCCGTCACTGCTGCACACTCTCCCTGGTACAAACAGAAGCCACAGACAGCATCATATGCTGCACAGTTGATTTGGGTGCTGCACCTCCTCCTCTTTTTGAAACCCACTGTGGGGGTGAGGGTTTGGGGTTCTTTTTTTTTTTGGACTGATGCACAGGATGAGATTTAGACATGCTGTGTGACACCTGAGGAGGAGTCTGAGAAGATGACACTGAAATTCTACTTCAAATATAGGGGGTCCAAATCAGGGTCTTTTTAAGGTGTCTGACCCTGAACTGGTGGAGAGTTGCAGCAGGAGACCCCAACTATACATTTATATTCTATTATATATTGATATATAACTGCATCAGTGTTTTTATGTTAAAGTGTTATCTTGACTAGTAATGACGGATACTATCATGATTAGTCACAATTAAGCACGATTAATCAAGATTTCAATCACAGATTGAAAATATTAACATTTGACCGATCTAATATATATTAAAAAACAACATTTCTCTAAAATTTCTCTCAACATTTTTGAACCCCCCTGCAGTACATCAGCAGACCCTGTAGGGGTCGTTGACTCCCTGTCAAAGACTCTAGGTCTACGGTTCATTTCAATTCCAAGATTCACTTTGTTGCATTTATGCATATAGTAGTACATCCAAATCTAGGATACTAGTCTTGGAGCAGGTATGGCCCAGACGTGTGGCCCAGATGTGTGGCCCAGATGCTCACCTGCTGGAGTTGGACAGCAGCTCCGTGTCTTTGCTCCAGGACAGGGCAGGTTTGGGAGCGGCCTTTGGTCGACATTCAATCACCACCCGACCATTTTTCGCAGCCAGGACTCTCTTTACTGGATTGTGTTCAAATGTTGGAGCACAGGCTGAAGAGAAACACTTTCCATTATTCATGAGAGTAATAGCAAATAATGCACTGGCTGCAGGCCACGCTGAGATTTATGGCACATTTTTATATTCATAAAGAAAGGAAACATATTTGTCTAACATTCTGTGTGAGCACTGCTGCATGACCAGAGGGGGCGCTGTGTGGAAAAACTGCACTTGTCTGTTGTTTTTTTTGACACAGCAATTAATTTCCTAATGAGAATCGTCCTCGTCGGCTCGTAACGCGACCTTTAAAATCTCTGATGCAGCTGTTTGTGCTGTGCTGGAACTCACCAAACACACGCAGCTCTGCGTTGGCATAAATGACTCCATGGCGGTTCTCGGCCATGCACTGGTACATCGCTGAATCATCAAAGGTCAAGCTGCTGAACTTTATCTCTTTATGGTCCACCTGTGGAAAATACCAGGGCAGCGAGGTGAAATATTCATTAAGATACCAATTAACAAAAAAAAAAAAAAGAAACGTACTAAATCATTAATGATTTTTTTTAATGTAAGGTGAGTGGGAGGGAGGGAAAGTTCTATTTCCTGTTCTGTGCTTTCTAATTTTTCCAACTTTCTCCAGTTTTTTTTGTTTGTTTGTTTGTTTCCAGACCTTTCCATGACAGTTGTTTATATGCAGGTTTACACAGCCGCCGCCAGCATCTGCTCCCAAACAGCAGACACTTTCCCCAGACGTGACACATATCTACAGAGCCAGCTCCCTGTCACTACGGTGCCGCTGCAGTAACCTTGAGATACACCCTGGCTCTAAGGGATCTGAGAGCGTTTTCAGGGGGCGGGGTTGTGAGTATTTTTAGCTTTAGCTTAATTGTTCAGATATAGGGCAATAAAAAGTAATGAGCTGGAATATTACTGGTTCTCCGTTCTTCAGCCAGTGGATGCGTGGCTTGGGTATTCCGCTGGCTTTGCAGGACAGCGTGTACTCGCTGTGAAGGTCCATCTCTGTGCTTCTGATGTGCTCCACCCACTCAGGAAAAGCTGCAAAGTGAGAAAATTCCCAGCGTGAAATCTTTGAAAGCTACCGTGGTGGTTGTATTAAGACTAAAGTTATTTTTAAACAGTAATCCAAGGAAAAGAGACTCAGTATTACAGAGGTTAAAGATGACCTTTTGACCTTTACCTTCTACAGTCACACGTGCCGTGTGGAGGTCTTTGCCTCTGGAGTTCACTGCCTCACAGCGGTATGTGCCGCCATCTTCAGGCTGAACGTTGTACAGATGCAGCTGAGCCCCCTCCATCCTCACCTCGTGGTTAACGGGGAGACCACCAGACCTCTTCCAGTTGATCTCAGGGACCGGGCTGACAAAGAAACAGATGAGAGAATTTGTCTCCGCAGCTCAGCTCCTACCTCCATATCTTTACAAAGCATGAAAAAAAAGATTAAGTTTCACACCTTCACTGCCAGAGTGTAGTACTAATACTATTTTGCGTAAAAGAATAGCCTCACAGGAAGGGGAACTGAATTAGTGTACCCACTAATGTGGGCTGGGAAGCTGCTGAGGGTCTCTTTACACGGTCCGTGTGGGCCGGACATGAATAACAAATGTGTGTAAGGTACAACTGGTGTGGGAATGTAACAAGGTTGAAGCTGTATTCTTAGATACTAATGTAAATATATCAATATATGATATATTGTTTTTATATACATACATATATATTTATATACTGTATATACAGTACATAAATACATAAATGTACATAAAACACTTTGAATTTTATCGCTGACACAGATGTAATGTGCCTTACTTTCCCAAAGCGAAGCATTCCAGGGTGATATTCTGCCCCACGAGCGCGGTGACGTCAGGAGACTTAACAATGAGGTCAGCGGGGTATTTTCTGATGGGACCTGAAGGGAACAACGGTAACACAGACTGATGACACAGGTATAAAAACATCTTTGTCAATAGTTCATTTTATGTATATGTATCAAAGCATGAAGATCATTTACAAAGTATTCATGCTTTTTATCTCTTCTAAATTTACCCCAAGGATATTTATTCATGTTTTTATACTCAGGAGTTGAGAAACATATATTGTTATTGTAAAAATCAGAGATGAATAAAAGAACAATAAAGAAATATGGTCTAGAATATTCCCCAGAGTATTATTAGAGATACTACATTCTTGAAAAAAGTGTAGTGTTTTCTGAGACAATTCTTGCGGTATTTTGAATGTGTTACACCGTTTACTTTCTCCGGGTACTTTTGGTTGGACAGTATTTACAAAATGAGGCTGCAGAACATTGTCAAAGTGTGATCATATGTTAATGAACCAAGATGACAAAAAAAAAACAACTTTTTTTCTTAAATGGCATCAACCATGTTCTCAAACCTTTGTTGTTTTTCAAGCTGATAGAACTGATATCTTGATGATTTTTCTGTACATCATTTAATACACAGTTGCACAGTTTTGGCAACAGTTTCCTCACAATAAATGTTCAGTATAAATAAAAACAACAGTCATGTGTAACAAATATGACACACATGATTTTATAAGGTTCACTTCATTTGCTGGTAAAACAAACCCAGTCTGCGTTTATTAAACACCTGTGGATACTTCAGTTATCACATAGAGAGTTCCAAAAATACTGCTGAGGCTCAAACGCTGCAGCTTCTTCTGCTTTGCACTCAATAATTAAACCACCAAGAGTTGAGGCAGAGTCAGCAGGATCTTTAAAAAACAAACATACTGTAGTGAATCCCCTCGGTCGTTTCTCCCAGCGCCACTAGGAGGATCTGGTGTTGAGTTTCTGTTTGCATTCTTTCCTTTTTATTCTTATTCTTCTTTTGCAGGTGGTAGAGAATGTTGCGTCAGTAGGAGAATAAAGAAAACTGCACTTCCGACTGAGCTGCTGCTACACTCACACTGCACTTATGGAAACACCTACAGGAAACATCAAGGGTGAGGAGCAACGGCAGTTTGAATCTCTGTTCATAGGAACACCAAACCTTCATTACCTTCACACAGAGAGAAACAAAAAATAAATCAGTGGAGATAAAAAAAAAGGTAAAAAGAAGTCAATTACTCACGTTCAGTTTGAGGCATGAGTGGGATGTAGTTGGAGAAAACGCTCTTTGAAATCGAAGGGCTGGATGCGATGCAGGAGTAGTTTCCCGTGTCGGAGGAGTCGACCTTGGAGATGTAGAGGTTACCGTTGGACTGGGACACGTAGCGCCTCTTGTCCAGCGGGATGAAGGTGGGGAATTCATTGAGGATCCATCGGAATGACAGCTCGGCTGTGGAGAAAAGAGAGAAAAGAAACAAAGTCAGCTGTCAATCAAGAAACGGTTGAAGCTTCGGAGAAAGTCAAACAGATTCAGAACGAGACTCGATCTACTTTAAATAACTATGGAGCCTGCAGAATAAATACCACAGCCTGTGTCTGTGAAAGACAATCGTATTATTCAAGCATGTATTGACCTTTTAGATGAGTAATTATTCTTTTATGGGTTTTATATCTGAGAGTGACTGTGGTCACAGTGGTGTAATTGTTATACAGTGGGAAGATCATTAAATGATCTCAGACTGTTGATATGCATTAATACAATATGTCTGAGAATCACGGCTGCATAGAGGAGCTAATGGAATAATGAGAGGAAGATATGGACCGGATGAAAACATTTTTAAAATAGTTCACACCAACCACAGAGTAAATTAAATCACAGTAAAGAAAAAGTTCATTAGTTAACTGTCTCATTATTTATACTGTGGAAGTAATTAAAACGAGCATTTACATTTCAATGCATCTTGGAAAGTTTGCGGTGTAGTTAATAATTGTGGATGAATACATTATCCAGTTACACACTGTGGAGAAGTCTGCATGAAAGTCCATTACTAACAGAAACATCCAGCTGTTGTACACTGTACCTGGGTAGTGTGGAGGAGGAGCACACAGGAGCACGGCTCCCTGTCCCTCCTTGACTTTTACAATCTCCCTCTCCTCTGAGGAGAAGAGATCGAGATCTAGGAGAGACAGAGGGACAGAGACACGACTGTGGGACAAAGGTCATCAGAAGTTCATATTTGAATATCTCTGAGTTCTATAAATTTGTGAATTATTGAGATGTGTGACATTTGGCCAGGTTTTCTAACCCCCTAAACTGACAGTGTCAAACTCCTGGCCCGGGGGTAACTCCTGGGCCATGAACCCCTGACATCTGACCTGTTTTTTTCCCCGTTTTTTTCAATTGGTCATTTAACAAGTAATACTAATATTAGTTGTGTGAAAGTAAAACTGAATTATTTGTCATTGTGACACACAATCCACTGCACACAGTGAAAATACATACATACATACATATAGACCTGGAAAAATATATTTCAGCTTAAAAACTGATTTAAAAAAAAGTTTTCCTGTAAACGTTCACTTAAGCCAAAAGATTTTTTATTACCCATAATATGGACCCTAGAGGAAAAATGAAAAAATGCACAATTCACATTATGCCTTATGTAAACACATGTTAAATGCATGGAGGTAGAGCTGCAGGGCATTTCCATGTCATGCTTGCCTAATACTCTACATTAGTGCAGCATGAGTCAGTTCACATCTGCCCCACTTACATCCAAACTGCACTGAAGCCTTTTGGCTGACGACGGTGCCAAACATGTTTGAAGCCATGCAGGAGTAATTTCCTTCATGTGTGCTTTTTATGGGGTTGTTGATGACCAGGCTGCCTCCGACCAAGCTGTAGTGGCTTCCTTCATCATTGACGTCAATCTCCATATTGTTCACTTTCCATCTGAAGAGTAAAATATTTTAGTTTTAGTCACAATACTGCAAGGTCAGAGAAGGAAAACAAACAAACAAAAACGAAAAACAAGAGAAGAAATCAGCATTTAACCTCAAATGCTTGCAACATATTATATTAGGTATCTGTAACTGGCAACCCAAAACATTGCAGTATTTAAAAATGCACCTGCCATTAGTCCTAGTGCTCAATAGGCAGCAGTGGATCATGAGTGATGGTAGATCAAGAGCAAACACATTTTAAATAATTAAAAACATAAAGCTATTTCCATTTTCAGATGCTAATCACTTGGACTACAACAGTGACCTTTAGGACATTGAACCATATTATGCCATGCAGCAGCTAGATGCATGTGAACGTATCATGTAAATGTCTGAGCCAAGGAAACTGTGGCCACCCCTGCTGGGGAGTTTCTTCTACCACACATCTGCTATTCTCACTGTGATGCTGCCAGCACAGCTGCCTGGAGCAGCTCGGCTCAAACATTGGCCCAGGGACACATCAGCATGTGTCTAGCAGCCCCCATTCAAAAAAATTCAACTGCAGCTCCTGAACCAGAGCCACAAACAGTACCAGACTCTGCTGAGACCAAATTGACCTAAAGAGTATAAGGTAGTGAGGAGCAGCGGAGGTCATAACTAACTCCTTTCTGACATGTTATTCCCAGCTGTGTGGCAGTAAAATTGATTTGGAGGTTGCACAGTAATGTCATTTACATACATTTACATGGAAATTGGAAGGGATGGTGCAAATGCTTCAAATTAGGAGGCAGAACTTGAGGAGGAGGCTGGATGATTATGACGGTTGTGCCAAAACTGCAGGAGTTTTTTTTTAATCTGTTATTAAAGGTCTCGAATGTGGCACAGTTTTGCATTTAGAGTATAAATATTCTCAGTGAGCGAAGAAAAATACACTGTTAAATGTGATGATCGGTGCAGATTCCGAAACAGCACTAATGTAAAATGCACCGCGTTAACAAAAGTAAAAACCTCCCTGTGGCCGTGCTGTTAAAAGACAAAAATATGAGAAACACAGAGGGTAGTGATGAGTGAGGCCTTATGGGAAACATATGTTACTTGTATGTAGCAGGTGGATTGGCACGAGCGCGGCAGTTTAGGGTGATTTTAGCCTCAGGCGACTCCTCGGGGTAGATGGTATCCACCGGCTGCTCCTCAAATACTGGCCCGAAACCTGCGGCTTCATCTGTCAACAACAAGCAAACAAGAGCAGGGTAAATGAAAACAAGCCGCGTCTAGTCTAACTAACAAACAGGAAATACGGTGGATGTCGAGGAGTTTACCATCTGCCTGACAGTTCTGGGTTAGATTCATCAAAAATGGAGACAGCTGGGCTTGGATGTGGCACGCACTACACACATACAGCCTGGATTGTTAGCGTACTGCAGGCACTGAGGAGCAGTGCTGTGAAAGCACAGCACACGTCACACGTTTTGTGTGTCTTTTATTTCTGTAGTATAGTATTTCTGTTATTCCCGGTCCCTAATTTAATCCTGTAATCTGCACCAAATTATCCTTAAAGCTTGGATACAGATAAAATAAATACATTTATATATAGATTTTTTTTATCTCAGGTGCCATCATTCATCTGTAATAATAATAATAATATATAATATAATACCATAAACTAATACAAATGGTCTCCTCCACCATTGTACCATCAACACAATGGTACAAATGGGAGAAAGTGCTCATTAAAGCATATTATGAGCTTAGGCGAGAATGGAAAAAAAAAAAAAAAAACAATGTGGAGTCATGAATAAGCAATAATGTGTTCTCAACAGATGATAATTCCCTCTGAAAACAGCCAGGCTGACAGATCAATAGGTAGAAGCTCTCCGTCTCTGTCTGTCTGGGAGTTTCTGCCGTTGTTTGTCATTATTCAGACCCGATATATCTATAATTTATTTGCAGATTCGCGATCCTTACAATTTGTACAGAACTTTTCTTATTTCATCATTTCACCACCGACCCGTGAGCTCTGCTGTGTACATGGCAGTGTGATAAGCTATTCTTGTACAATAGTCGGTGATTTAAAAAAAAAGCAAACCCATTTCAGCAGTAAAACCTGCAAGTTCTGCCATCAACACAGACAAACTGTTCATTTTGTCAACCTGTCATCCCTTGTGTTTATTTGCATCCTTGAATTTTCGTAGTGTGCTGTTTTGTCCGATTATTATGTTTTGTGTTTGTGTTTGCAGCTCGCTTTTTCTGTCCTGTAGGTGGTGCTAATTACACATTTATAAACCCTGTACTATGACAAGTTTTATTTTGTTTGTGGTTCGATGGTACAGCGTTTAGCTCTTTAGCTAACTGCTAACAGAGCAGCATTGTGAGCAACAGAAAAACAGCCATAATTAAGACCTTGCTTATAAACAAATAGCTTTTATGAGCCACTAAAATGACTGGGGGAATTCATTTTAAATGTTTCTCTCTGTTGTTTTGTTGGGGCAGCGTGCATAATTTAACTGCTAAGAGATGCCAGTTTAAAAGAACTGACATAATAGGCCAGTAACTAAGAACTAACTAGAACTGCACTGTCACACCAATCTGACTATAAATATATGGAGTCAGTGTGCTAATTGGTATTTACTATACAATCATACAACTATACAACTATACTATACAACTATACAATTCATGATTTTGTTTGCTTTTCTTTCAGCAGCATTGTAACAGCAACGCTGCTGTTTTTTTCCACCTTCGACTGCAACATGATCTTGTTGACACACTCGCAGAGGCCGAATCTGAGGTGGAAAAAAACCCCACTGAGATCAGGAAAGTGACAGCGTGAACTCTGTTTTCCTCCTAGTTAATTAGCTAAAACTGCTAAATTATTGTTGTCAGTCACACCCAACTGCTTTCAGACACCTCTCCACACTCATTTACTGGACGATTGCGTAAATAGATATATATATATATATCATATATCTATGGCTTTTACTTCCACAGCCAAGGGAGAAAATAAAGTATAAGGAGACACAATCCACTCACTCTACACCACCACCGCCAACTATGTCCAAGTGTTGACACAAAGATAAATCAGGATACTGTAGATTAATGCTGGCTGGAAGTTATCCAAACATACTGGATGTGGGGGCTGAGGGAATGTTGCTAATTAAATAAAAAGCTACATTCTGAGCACAAGATGGAAACACAGAAGAATTGCTACAAAAAACTGGACTATTCTCCAGTGTTGCCAAACGTATGATAATGTTATCATCTGTATGACCAAATAAACGCTGTAAAATCCCATAAGGAAGCTAATGTGAGTCCTTCATCGCATAGCTGAGTCAGTTCATGAGCACAACAGGACATGTGTTTATAGCAAATCTATCCACGACTTGGAGGATAACAGAGGCAGACGACCTAAATAATGATTGGCAAGCATCGTGTTTTATAGGCAAAATCATGTTATGGGGTGATAAGTTATGATAGCTACGGCTGAAATCGACACGTTTTAATATTAGTTTTAATTAATAACTTAGCACATTTGACGTATGGGCAGAAAGATCTAATCAAACATGCAGATGATCTTCTTCTTCTTCTATATCATCTTCTATTTGGCAGAGCCACTGTCTCTAAACCATACATCACAGCATGTCTCACTGCCGTCATTACTGTCTTAATCAAGTACATAGTTGACATGCCTATTATTTGCACACAGTGGGAGGAGCAATAGCATCTCGTCCATTGGAGAGATGCCATTGTAAGCTTCAACATCATCATAACAATTGTGATTAATCATGATTAATCATCACAATTACGCTGTGATTAATCTGAGTAACAGTTTGAATCAATCGACACCTCCAGTAATAACGTGTTATTTAAGCATCAGAATGATGCTCCAAAATACCCACGAACGTTTTAGACTGTAGGAAACTTCATCTTTTCATATCTAGCTTCACAGACCTTTTCATACTAAAACTGTTTTATCATTGGTGTCATATTACAAACCAAAAATAAACCAAATTTTTCTGTAAATAAGAGATGAGCTGGAGGAGAAACCATGCATTGCTTCTAAAATACTACTAAAATAACATCTTGGAGCTGGTAATGTAGCAATCCTGCGCTTATACTGTGGGATCTGACAGATGGTGGAGGAGTGTGTTAAAACAGACCACACACGTTTCTTAGATTCCCTCTGTAACACTTCCTCTCTCCGTTCCTGAGTCTCTCCAAGGTTCCTTCAACCCCTTTTCATTTGTCTCACTTAAATGCAGCTGTCACACTGGGCCCCTCAAACTTTACACTCACACACTTTCCTACAGGACTTTTTTAATGATTACTGCAGGACATATTTGGTCTGTAAGGACGCCTGTTCCTCCAGTGTGTTATATATTCCCCAAAACACACCCACACACATACTCTTTTCACAGTGATATGGTTTTATTTAGTTTGTATTGCGCTTCCATTCGTTTGGATAGGTGTTAGCTAATGCCGTTCGCTAGCATGATGCAGTTCCGGTTGTGCAAATACATTAAGATTTGTTGTAAATACACACACACACACACACACACACACACACAAAACAGCTATGTATTTTAGCATTTTAGCCTCTCAGAGTAGTTCCACCTTATTCATATTCCTCTGCCCTTGTTTTTATGAAGTCTATGACTTTAGCTTTACTAACGACAGCCCAAACAAACCGTTAGCTTCTACTGTAATATGGTGGGCGCTCCGTGCTATGCTTAATGCTTGAATACACAAGTTCATCTTTTTATGCTACAAGGCCATGTTTTATATAATATAACGTAAATACAGTAGTGTACTTTCACAACAGTAGACTGCTGTGAAAGTACAACATTTGACCAAGTTACGATCTGTGAATATTGTACTAAGCCACGTACGTAGTACAGCCTTGGTCTGTCCGTGAACATCAGCCTTTTGGACGAGTTAAGTGACTCATATATTTTTTCTACTTTCGACTCTCTCGACTCAGCCTTTAGCTCAGTGCTTTTATCCATTATTGAACTGCTGTGTAAACCTTTTCCTTTGTTTATACCCCTACCTTTTTCTTTTTAAATCAATGACTGTTTCTTCTTCTTTTCATCCCTTATCTGTGTTTCTCTCCCAGGTTCTCATTTTCTCTAAATCACACCCCTTCTCCCCCGTTTCCTCTGTTGGCACTGCTAC